ACAGGCTACAATTGACTTATATTATTTATAATGTAATGACTCATAAAAAACTATATAAAATGACTATATAAAAACATATACATAAATAATATATAAAAGTTTATAAATATATATACAGTACACAAGAACTAAAAAAACAAAATATATATTAGTATTTATTAATAAAAAAAAAATAAATTTTATATATCTATATACATTAAGTATATAAATATATAAAAATAAAAAAAAAACGTTAAATATTTGTTAAATGTGTTGGTTATGTTAGAGAGTACAATTGTGAAAATGGTGAAATAATGTTTTTAAAAAGTAAATTGTATAACATAACTAATAATATTGATATTGAGTGTGCCACACAAATGATACTGTAATTAATAGATCCATTTTAACTACTTATATAAATAGATTCCTGTATTCGAAGTCTAAAATCATCAACTATTGCAACGGAGGAAACATCAATTTGGTTGAACATATAATACAAATTTATTTGCGGTTCACAACAATGAAGTATATACTCCACGACTCCAAATATGTAACCATTCGATTTTTTACAAGCCTCTGCCTAACATTTTCAAACAAAAATATTAAAGTTCTTTATCAGGAATTTACCCGACCATTACTAATATGTGCCCAACAAGCTGCAGTTTTACATGAAGTAATAATGAAATAGCCTATCTATTAAATTATTTTATGACATCCACGAATTTAACCAATAGCACCGTTTTATTAAGGTAGCGATTATCCTAAACCCTGATACAACTTTATCTCCACCTCATTTTACTTTTCCTTACCCTATTCATTACCTTTTGAAATTATAGCTTTTATTTTCATCACTTCTAACATTGGCAGTATATATATATATGTTTGGTTAGGGTTTTCCGACAGGTTAAAATAAATAAACATTTAAAAATGTTCTATTGAAGAAAAATACTATCATAATTTCAAGAAAAGCTGCCTTGAATCAGCAGCAATATTATATTTGAATAGATGAAGGTGTGGTATCTGGTATTTAAAACTAATGTAAGGCTATGTACTGACGCAGAGCCATCATTTTTGTTATGAGGAAGTAGAAAGTGTAAGTTTATGGGTTACGTGACAGTTTTTTATTTAGTGTACTGTAATGTATAGTACCGTTTTTTAACTTAGCGTTTATCGTTACTGCAGCCCTGTGATAATACATAATTTTTATAAAGAAACTGCAATTTTAATTTGAAAAGGTATCTGTGTATCTGTTGTCCAGGATGAGATGTTTCTGTTTAAATTATTCAGTTTTTCATATTGCAAATCTAATCTCTAAAGTAAAACAATCATATCAAACTAAGTGCAACAAACACTTTTGTTAAAAATTGTTAGTTACTTAAATAAGAAAATTGATAAGTTTGCAAGCATTTTATACCATACGGTTAAGTAATATTGCATAAATATTTATATTTATATATATGAGTATAGTTGTGGGTACGTATATCTACTGGCAATGACACTCATCCCAATAGTTTACGATTAGATAATCCTGAATTAAATTAAAAAATTTCATTTGATCAAACGATTATTTTATAAGTGTATAAATAAAAAGTATATTATATAAATAAATAAATTACCTCTCTTTGTAATTTCCTTCTTTCAATTTTAAGTTCTGCTTCCGCTTTCTCTGCCGCTTCGGCTGTACTTTTATATCTTATTACTTGAGTTTCAGAGCGCGCTAAACTTGCTTGCAGACTAGCTATTTCCTGTTCCGCTTTTTGTAATTTATATTTACAGTCTGATATGATTTTATTAGCTTCCCCTAAAATGAAAAAATTTAATTTTAATTTTTTATATAAATAAAAAATTACAATTATTTCAAATAAGTTTTTTTTAATTTAAGTTTTCTTTTTTTTAATTAATCAAATTATCTCATAACTCACTTTGTGCCTCATAATCATCTTCGGAACCTAAGGGACCATTTGCAGAGCTACCACGACCTTTTCCTTGACTTTTATAAACTTCTAATTGTTCCTGTAATTGCTGTACTTCACTTATAAGCTGTTGTTTTTCTTCGCTAAATTTTTTAAGTCTAACGTCTATAATATTAAAAAGTATTTATTAGAATATATATTGATATACATATATATATATTCAAACCTAAGGACCCTTGAACTGAACCAAGTAGTTGAGCGTTCTCCGCACTGACTAGAGCACGTTTAGCATCGGTACCATCATCGTTTTCGACAGCAACTATAACTAAACCTTGTTCCGCAATTAATGTATCACGTTCGTTTAATTGGCCTTCAACAAGCCGAAGCTCTTCAGTAAGTTTTTCTAAATTTCGCTTTAATGTGTTGTAATCGCGTGACTTATCCTTAAATTCTCGCTGCAACTGAGCATAGGATTCTTCAACTTCCTCTAGTTTGTCTTTAAGCAGTTGAATTTGATAAGTTTGAGAAGCTCGTTCATTATCTAATTGAGCATTGGCTATCATTGCTTTTCTAAATCTCTCTTCAACATCCTTTTATTAAACAAAAATATAAACTTTATAATATTAAAAGTTATAATTATTAGTAAATATACCTTTAGTTCATGCCGTATATCTCTTAAACTGCGGCCTTCTTCTTCTAAAGAATCTTCACTACTGCGCCTCGAAGACATTGAATTCCCACGCGTGCTATTGAGTAAACTCATTGGAGATGCACCAATTCCTGACGTTAGTCGCGATCTTGATACAGGATCTATACCAGACGCTGTATGCATATCATATATACGATCTGCGTTTTGCTCTTGTTCTTTTTGTTGTCGTTCTAATTCACGCATACGTATTTCGCGCGCTTCTGCTCGAGCCTGTCTGCGGGCAGCCAATCGAGCCTCAGTCTAAAAAACATCAATTTCAGTAAGTTTAGTTTAATTTTAATCTAAGAAATAAGATTATGTTAGGAATCATCGATAGATAATTTTGCATCCTATTTTTAAAAATGTTAAATAAATTACTATGAATATGAGTTCAGATATTTACTGTATTGACGCAAGCCAATAAATTTTATGGATACTACCAAATTTGAATATCATATGTTGCCAATATATTACTAAAACTCAATATCTTGCTTAGATCCTCTCATAGATTATGTCCCAGATTTTTCTCGACATATTAAGAAAATGTTCAACGCGTCTTTATTCTTTTTTTCCCCCAATTAGGTAGTAGCAAAAGATTCAAGGAGACCAACATGTGAGCAGTCATGGCGTCGATAAGATAAAGATCAACTAAAAAAAGTTTTAAGTACTTTGCATGTAATTGGTTACAAAAATAAACTTGATTGATGATTTCCTCATTAATTTAATGAAAAAATTTTAATGGACTGCGAATTAATGAACGGGTCGAAATAAGATATTGCATTGTATAATAGCAGGATCATATATAATAATGGTATATGAAAACAGTATTGATCGAAATACGATCTTGTATGCTTTGTTATATGGATAGTATTATGTACTACTACTTATAAATTACTACCAGCGCATTATTAGCAATTATGTTTGATATTGAAAAAACGAAAAGATATTGTTTCATGATATTAACGCCAGCTCACGCACTTTTTTGCGATTTGGTAAAAATTGAGAGATCTTGACCGAGAACATTTAATGCACTTATGTTACACGAACAGTTCTGACAAATTATTATATTGGCAAATTATTTATGTTTCTGATCCTTGCAAAATTTTCCTACTGTCGAAAAATTGTCCTCAAAATATTTCCTTGAAATGTATCTCAGTCAGTTTATTAATCACAAAAATCTGTAGAACTGCAACAAATGAATCACAGCTCTAACGGAAAAATAGCAGAGGTTGCCGAAAAATGTGAACTATATTTTAATAAATAAAAGTATAGAATTCGATAACAGACAAAGCTCTTTCAACATGTTGCTTAATGAAAGCGATGTGAAGTAAATGTACAGAAATGTTAACAATAAACAATAGTGTTAAAGCATGAAAACAGAAAAATTCACTATGATTAAGTTAATTTATATAGCAGTCGTATATGCGTTAGTCTTGGTGAATAACGCTGCAAGTAGAATTGATAAAAATTTTAGATTTGAATAACGTAAAATAGCTGTACGTTGGCCTTATTAACATACAGTTCCACGACTCAAATTTAACAGGGTTTAATTCCTGACATTTTCAACCCCGAAATTGCAAAACTACAATACCAAAAATAAAATTATTAACATAATAATAAATCCTTAATGATGTGTTTAAAAAAACCCGAAACGTCATACATACATATATATGTTATTAAAAACAACGAAATAAAATATAAATAAAAAAAAATTAATTATTTAAACACATGATTTAAATATTTGTGTCAAATATTATATAAGAAAAATAAATATCTGATTTTTTTAGTTACGAAAACAAAAATTTTAAACTAATGAATGTTTTATAAGATCACTAATGATGGATATATCCGAAACAACTGCATGGTAAACTCAATAATTTACTTGATTAAATTTGACAGGATTTAATTCTGATTCTGATACTTGCATTACCAAAATTATATACGAAAAATAATAGAACCCCTGAGAAGGTGGTTAAATAAACGGGAAATTTCACGTATATATTTAAGTGCAAAAAAAAATTAATTATTTAAACAAAAAAATTTTAAATTTTTATACTATTTACTTCTTTTTAAAAACAATAAAATATATAAAAAATAAATAACTGTAATTTAAAAAAAAAAAAATTTGTTTGAACCAATATTGAACCAATAATAATATATTTTTTGAATGACCACTGATTATGGATAATTGGCAATATCAAAAACAATTGTATGGTCAGTCCAGAATTTAATTGATTAAAATTTAAAAAATCGTTTGGATTTCCTTATTTTTATATACTTTTTTATTCAAAATAGATTTCTTGCCAAAGACAATGTGACAAGACAATAGATAGTTTTGTCAAGACAATATGGCAATTGAAATAAGCATTAATGTTAGAATTAATATATATAGAATTTCAAGAAGTAGTTTAGTTAATATATAAATATTAGAAATTTACGGTGAAGAATTATTTTTTTTCTTGAGTTTTAAAAGATTATTCTTATTTTTTATTTCCAAGACGAAGGTTTTTTTTAACTATTAAAACTTAAAATACCTATTAAAATAGGTTAGGTTAGGTGCGGTTATAACGGCGATCTCAAGTGATCCATTTAGGCTTATAGGCCCATTGTTAAAACTTAAATTATGATTATTTTTGATTACTTTGATTACTTTACTTTGTTTTTAGAAGGTACTTTGTTCAACTATTGATAATAATTCTTTCTCGAGGTAAAATAGGTTTAATAGTTTACATTAAACTACTGGTTTAAAAATTGTTTAACTACTACGATCAACAGAATGGCAGTAGCTATAAGGGCAATTTTAATTTTCCAGATGAAAAGAATTATTTTTATATACCAATTTTTCTTTTTTTGAAAATTTAAAATACAAAACAAAGAAAATATGATAAAATATATGCAATTCGTAAATATAAGATTTATTGTTCTATGTAAACTAGAGGTTTAAATTATTTTAGTTTTATTAATTAATTCTAATATACATATAAACATTCCATATTATTTTGAAATAATATCGGGATTATTTCAAGAAAATACGTGACAAAGTAAACAGAAAAACAACCTCGATTCAATTTAGCTTATCACCTCAAACCTCAAACTATTTTGTATCTTTTATCTTTGCATTTTTATACGAGTATGTGTTTGAATTTGTAAATAGAAGCTCTCGCCGAATTATGTACCGCTAATTATGTACAACTCTTGATTTGAGCTTATAACGCGTTTGAGAGTTTTAAATTTGTTTTAGATTATGAGCATTTTAAAGAAACGTCATTTAAGCGTTTCGAATACATTTAAAGCAAATCAAAAGTAGGGAAGATGACGTCATATTGGCTTGGTAAATCTCACTCTTGTAGAGCTTAAAGCAAAGTATTCGAAAAACAAAAATAATTTAAGCAACGGTTTTACCGACTGATTAATAAGTGAGTAGACGCTTATTGCAGCTTATATACTCAAAAATAACGTGTTTAGGTTTCTTTATAGATTTGTGCAACAATGACTTTGAAAATTTTATAAATTATAAATTATTTTATAAATTGATTGTAGAATATCTTACAATATCGTTTGCTTCTCCCAAAAATTGTACTAACAACTCTTCGTCAGGATCAATGTCGTATTCATCGCAAAGATCATCATCTGCATTTTTATCGTTTTCGTTACTTTTATCACATGTAGTTTTGATTCTTCCTACACTGGCACAACTACCACTTTTCATGAGGTTACCTTGCGTGAATGAATCAGATTCTTTTTCTCCCACATCTACTATTTCTCTTGGTGTTATAGGGCAAAATGAGTCTACTGCAACTTCCGCTAGCGTTTCTTCATTTAGTTCTAGATTCTTAGGTATATTTTTGAGCTTATCGTTACTAATTGTAGGTTCAAATTTATAATTACTTTGTGACAAATTTTGTTCTTTACTGAATGCATCGACTTTCATATCAGTGCTCTTTGTATGGTTATCTTTAAAATGTTCGCAATTGTTATCAAGTGCAGTTGTGGTAGTCGATATAGAATTGGCGGTTAACGCGCAGACATGGTCTTTATTATCGTTATTGTCATCCAATAAATCACTATCACTAAAGTTAAACTCCTCGATGACTTCATCTTTTTCATTATTATTTAATTCTGCATTTTTGTTAAAATTTTTTGAATTTATTTCATTATTCGTAATAGCAAATTCTTGTTGATTTTGCACGTAAGTATCTGACATTTTTGTGTTAATTAAATAAACAAATGAGCAATTTAAAAAAATCTAATTGTAAATAAATTTTCAATATTTATTTTATTCTTTTTTTGACAATATTTTACATTTAAGCATAAATTGATATATATTATATTTTTAAGTGAATGAATTTCAATTTTTGTTTTTACAAAAATTTTTAATTTGCCCGTCCCGCACTCAATGCGTAGAATAGTCTCAACGCTTACTCATTCCATTTACAACTAAAGATAGAAAGCAAAACTGCGAAGCTTAAGTTTTTAATAAAGAGAAGCGAAAACGACAAATTCGTTAAATAACAATTTTTGGCCGGTAAGCTTTATTTACTCTCAGGCACTACCTTTCAACATAAGAAGTGTGTTTTCTATACGTAAATATTCGTATCAATTATTTATTCAAAAATTATTTTTTTTTTAAATCAATAAACATTCCGGTTTTAACATTGAGAATGTCTACACAGAAGTTTTTATAGAAATTTTTTGAAATATTAATGAAAAAATTATTATTATTATTATTATTGAAAAAATTTATACAGATATTTATGAATTTAATATTACAAACCCACAGAACCATGGTGTAAAATCTTGTGCTTGTAATGTACTTTGTATCTTTAGTGCTGTTAACTAGCACTTTAGGTGTTTTTTGTTTTCTTTTTTTTACTATTTTGGTGATAAAAAGGTACTTGCAGACATTTTCCAAAGAAAAGTTTTGTAAAATAATGTATGTTTTATTTTTTGTACTTTTAGTGCTGTTAACTAAAAGCACTAACTAAAAGTAGTTAGAGCAACAAGGCGTAGAGGTAGACCGTGTCTCCGGTGGAGTGATCAAATTGAGGGAACATTAGCAGGACTTGATGTACGAAACTGGGAAAGGTGCGCACGCAGCAAAGGCGCCTGGAGAGATATACTGCGTTAGGCCGAAACCCGGTCCCAGGTTGTTATAGCAAAACAAAAAAAAAAGTGCTGTTAACTTACAGTATATATACAAAAATTTCTCTCGAAAATGTTTTGTGAAATATGGTATTTCCTTTTTTATATATGTTTAGTTTTGTACCAAAAGATTAATGCAAACATTTTCTATAGAAATATTTTTTAAATTTATTTTATTTTTAGTGTTATTAACTAGCACTTTGCCCGTTTTCTTCATAAATATATTTTTTTTTTTGATATTTCTGAGGTGAAAAGGTTTTTTAAAACTCTATTCACAGAAATATTTTGCACCCAAAAACTATAGTATTAACTAACATGGCAATTTTTTTTATGAAATTATTTTTTTGCTATTTTGATGTTGATAAGTCTTATACCGTCATATTTCAAAGAATTTTCTTTACAAAATTATTTTTTGTGAAATTTTTTGTCATGTTAACTAGCACTTTAACTGTTATTTTCATAAAATTATAGTAACTTTTTTTTTTATAAAATGAAAGATTTGCTTATATAAATCTATAAGTTAAGCACTGTCTGATTGCACTAAGTAGAGGGAACTTACATATTCTTACGTTGTGTGACGTTTGTAATATATGACCTAAATATTTTTACCGGAGTGAAAATCGAAATTAAACTGATAAATTTCTTTTAAATGAAAATTATGAAAAATATTAATATTTCAAGTTCTTGAATATTGAGTGTTAACATATGCATTTGTTTTCTTTTTTTTTTAATTTTTCAGTTTTTATTTACAAAAAAATAAAAACTAAAAAATATTTTATATATTTTACAACTTTTCTAGTAAAATTTTTTTTTCTTCATTACTATCGTTTCACTGATTGTGACATGTACAAGCAATCGTTATTTGAGTAGCAAGCAAATTAATGGAACTAAGAAGAGATGAGTATTTGAATCTTAAAATAAGTTAAATCCTAAATTGGTAGTGGTTTCCCATGTGACGGTAATGATTTATGGATTAGGTTAAGTTTTTTATGCACTGCAAACAGATTGACCTATTTTGCACCTTCCCATGCCATAGTCAAAGACTTTTATTATTCTTAATAAATTAAAAAAAAAACTATTGCAAAAGCTAACTTTTGCCAATTTATGCATTATTATTATTGACTAGACGTGGGTATATAAATTTAATTTCAATAAATGTTAACTATATTAAGAGTGAGCACAAACCCAAAAAACCACACCAAAGTCAATTAAAAATCAAGGTAATATTGACTATTGTCTTCAGTTATCGTAATGAAGTGAATTGTACTCACTACAATGACAGAGAACAATGAAGAAAACATATTAATGCAGTTCCAATATTCATTGAAAACAGTAAGATTAGTGGAAAGGCAAGACATGACTTTTGCATCATTTTACGCGCACCCGTACACAACTCTCTTTATACTCAGTTATTTGACCAAATAGTCGTTATTTTCTAAAATTAACATGTGACAAAAGCACTTCTTATACTTGCAAGAAATGAATTTAAAGTAAATAATTGCTTAAATCTATCTTGTACCTATTACAAATGAAACACAACACATTAGTGATGTTTTATGCTAGTATTGTACTTTTTTTGATATTGTTTTATTTATCATATGTACAGGAATATATTCTTTGGGTAACACGAATAGATTTGAGATTAGCAAGAATAGAAGAGAAAAAGACTGAATGCTTACGCCTAAAAGTAAGTATAACAACTGTGTATAAAATCAATCATGTGATTGATGTGGCTTAAAAACTAAGTAACTTGTTGAGTAATGCAAATATATAAGTTATATGATTGTTTAGTCATGATTTTATTCATTTAGTCATTTTGATGTCATACTACATAATTGGTAGTGTGACAAATACCAGATTAGTGCGAACAATATGCATATTTGAATTTTTTTGTTGAGTTTATATAAAAATGTTTTACCAAAATAAATACCTAATCAAAATTGTAACAACTGAATTACAGCAATTACATTATTTAATTTACTGTTATTTAGAAAATAAAATAAACTTTAAAGATGATACCAAATGATTTACGTTTGTGAATATTATATTATACTCCAAAAGTAGTACAATATATTTTATCAATTAATTTCATTTTTCAGAAAATTTTAATTAATATTATTTGATAAAAATTATATTATTTGATAATTAAATAAAATCAAATTAAATAAAACAAACATAGATGTATACATACGCAAATTTTAGGCGGCTTATCAGTCGTTATTTTGTTTATAACAAAAACAATATGAATTTTTGGAAATATTTTTACTAATACTACTAAATTTTAACACATGCATTTGAGTGAATAAATTTATGATTTTAAACTTTATAATGTAACAAATATTTACTTTTGAGAGCAGAACTTACGATAGCAACATAATTTAAGGATTTTAGCTACAAAAAATATAGTAATATGTTCAGTTAATTTAGCTATGTTAGTCATTTGATTAAAAATATTTTTTTTAATTTTTGAAATTTATATATTTTTTCTATATTATTTTATCGTATTGAAATTTTTAGTCAACTTTATTTTTATACATAAATTATAGATGCCACTACCAATGCGTCTGAGGAAGTCCATCTTTCTACATGATAGACAACTATTTAACTATAGAAAGCACCTATAGATCACGATAGGTGATTGCAACAAATTTTGGATTGAGATACCCATAACCACTGACATTATTGACAATACAGACAATATCTTAATGCACATATTGGGTATATCCAATAAATATCCACTGAAGTGAAAGTCTTTAGAACACTGATGCTTTCTTACGAGCTTGTGGCAACGACAGAATAGATGAACAAGATTTTCTACTTTGTTGTCTTTATTCGTTAAGCATTTCAACCGCTTAAATAGTGTACTATTCGTACAACAATTGAATGTGACAGCGAACATCAATCAAGACCAATTAGTAGTTTTGTTCTTATGTGACTGTAAAAGGGTACACCTTACGTTGAGCTTTTGTTATTGTTGAAGCCCGCTGGAACCTGCTTATGAATACCTTTTGGTAAGTGGCGAACGGCACTTAGTCATCGATAGGTACTAGTGGTTCCGGGACGTAGACCCGGCCGTTCTTGGAGCTTTTGTATAAGTTTTATTTTTTCGGTCTGCTAATTAGAAATAGCCTATGTGTATAGTCAATTCAATAGAAACTGCGTGGATATCCATATCAATATGGTATTCAAGTATATGAATATTGATTAAGAAATAAATTTACTATGCCACAAATGTATTTGTAGTTTTAAGGTTGTTAGCTTAAGTATAAAAATGTATGTACTAACATAAAACAATGTATTAACATAAAACAATTTATTATATTAATCAAATAACTAATAAGAATACACTTTTTTTAATTCTTAGTATTAAATTAATCTATACTACTGAATTAACCTATTTCATATTATAGTGACAAAAGTATTTCCTATTAGGGGAATACAGCTCGCATACCATTTTAGCTTGATTACAATATTCTCAACTTATAGATAATTTTTTTTGCAAAATTGATAAGTGTGCGATTGTTTGTTTTGGGAATTTTATTTAAAGTTCAACATTTTTAAATAGTTTTAAATGCATTGCCATCAAGTACGTTTATTGGTAGTTCGTAAATTTAATACAAAATTTAAGAATAAATATTTCATTTAAATCGGTTTTATCAAGGTGAGAGTTTATCAATTATTTATAAATAGATATGTCCAATGACTAATCGTAGTTATTAAGTGAAATCAACTTGGTTTGTCATTATAATTTGGAAATTATCTTGAAATATAAATAATTTGAAGATCATAACAAACGAATTAAAAGTTCTAAAGACATCAGTGGCTATTATTGCATAAATTTGAATCTCGAAGTAGTGAAAGTAAAAAATTAAAAGAAATTTTGCATATACTACATTACTTAAAGTTTGTAAATGAAGTTGTGACATCAGATTTAAAATTTTGACAAACATTATATTACAATATACAATTAGTAAGTAAATTAATATTAATATTTTTTTATAGCAATAATTTGACTCATTCAATTGTTATTAAAATTCAAATTATTCAAAATTATTCAAAATTTCAAATTTAATGTTTAATGTTTTTGAAAGTATGCACTTATATTAAGATTTACCTCTTTTGCTATTTGATCCAATGCCTGGTCCTCAGCATTAACTTTAGCGCTACCCCGACGTCTTCCTACAGTGCTACTACTATCCATTTTACGAGTATTATTTTAGAATGATGATTTAATTTGAATGCTAAAGATATATAATCACGTATTAGATAGTGTAAATATTTTTTGAATGAAAATTCATAATATTAAATTTAATCAAAAAAAAATATCTTACCCTTATACGATCAATAACAAATGTGTGTGATTAATTTTTAATTCCTTATAGGGATAAGAAACTGTTTAGGTGGTTACATATAAAGTACGGGGGGCATCAAATAATTTTTTTATACATAAAACACTATGTAAAAATATACACACATATATACCGGCTAACAACGCATGCAGATGTAATTTTAGATAATTATTTTTATTTATATATTAAATTTTTGAACCAAATAATTATAAATAAAGGCACGCCAGTTATTATTGAATAGTAATAAGACAATGTAAATTTTTTGGGGCGCGGGGCGGAACCAAATTCTACTTTTTTTATATATCTTTAGTATATTCACATCATGGGCGGTTGTGTGGTTGGCAAATTTTAATCAGAGCCTATATTGTTTTGCACATATAGAAAAATTCGCAAATTCGCTTAAACCTTCTCACTTTTTCCGGATTTCATTGGATATTTTTTTATTTCTAATTCTTTGACACACATACAACTGAGGCAGAAAGCTAAAACCAAAGTGCTGCCAGTTTCATTATTTTTATTTTGACATTTCTAAGTGATGCCATCATTAGACAATTAAAAGAAATAGAGATGTGTAATGATTTAAAACTGACCGAACAACCAAAATATATGTTTAACCTCGCATTTGGATTAATTGCAGATTTGTCATTTTGTTTACATTCTAAAAAAACCATAAATATATTTTTTTTAAAGATAACAATATTATACTCATATTATGCTCACAATCACATAGAAAATTGTCACAAAAATTGTATGCTCTTTCTCGTCATGACCATAAAGGAATGTAAACAAAACATATATTTATTTTGACTAACGTGACAAGAAGTTGAAACCCTCCAATAATCCAGAAATTATTAGGACGATTTTACAGCCGTGGCTTAAGTATCAGAATTGGAAGGATGAAGTACGTCAGTAATGTTTTGGTACAATAGGACTCTTTTGGCAGCAATAACGGCTGTTGAGCGATTTCACGACATAGTTATAATATAAATAATAACAAGTCACTAAAGTTGATGACTTAAGCATGATTCATCAATATTCAAAATTTAGTTATGACTGTAAAATTGAAAACAGCAACAAATTTATATTTGACCTAACCATTACTGTCTGCATTATACGGCCAATTGAAATGTGCTGACTATTTCATAAATTATATATGTCGAACATTTTAACAATACTATCTATATTAATGGAACACTTTAACTATACATGTCTCTATATTCATATTTTTCCAATAAATTTAAAAAATGATTAACTTAAAACGGTTAATTATTTTTATATGTTGAATTTAAGTGGTAAAAAATTGTAATACTAATAGCATTGTATGAATATGATTTTATGAAATCGCAACTAACTTAATGTCACCAATTTGTCTGACAATTGACATTAAGAACAAAGAGGAATTAAAAAAATATAAGGAATTATCATCTACATTTTTTTTGTTGCAATTGTGAAAAGTAGTTATTAATTCGAGATATAAATATTGATTTATTTTAAAATTACATTTATTAGTTTAAACAAATTACAAAATACACGAACGTCAACTTCGTAAAAATGGCCAAGAAGACTTACGATTTGCTTTTTAAACTGTTGCTTATTGGAGATTCGGGCGTTGGAAAAACTTGTATCTTATTCCGCTTTTCTGATGATGCATTCACCTCAACTTTTATATCCACAATTGGTATGTAAATGTTACATTATATTTAATTCACAATACTCAATAAGCAAATATTGAGTGTAATTCGAAAATTTACATGGGCGTGGCTATTTTAATACTTAATTCGTAGATTCATTAACTAAAATTTTGAATCTTATAACATAATTTAAAAACGGTTTATAAGTTGTGCACAGTGCGTTTAAAATGGTCGAACATAAATATAATTATCACTTCGCAATTAAGTATAATGTTATAATTAAATATAAAACAAAAAAATACAAAATATTACATAAACTTTTAATTTTTCGTATATACTAGAAAAACAAGCGAAACTTATTTTTTAAATAACACTATCATTATTTTTCAGGAATTGACTTTAAAATTAAAACAGTCGAATTAAGAGGAAAGAAAATAAAATTACAAATATGGGATACTGCCGGCCAAGAACGTTTTCACACAATAACAACATCATACTATCGTGGAGCGATGGGTATAATGCTAGTATATGACATAACAAACGAAAAAAGTTTTGAAAATATAGTGAAATGGCTTCGGAACATAGATGAGGTAAGTATTGATCTAATGATGTAAAATTGATTTATTGTTTTCTGCTTCAGCATGCGAATGAAGACGTTGAAAAAATGATATTAGGCAATAAATGCGATATGACAGATAAGCGCGTTGTCACAAAAGAACGTGGTGAAGCTGTAAGTTATTTGTAAAAAAATATTAATTCAACCTTTTAAAAATATTTGTTATAAAATACAGATTGCCCGTGAACATGGTATACGTTTTATGGAAACTTCCGCTAAGTCAAATATAAACATAGAACGCGCATTTTGCGAACTTGCCGAAGCGATTTTGGATAAAACATCTGGAAGAGAAGCAGCAGAAAATCCTGAACGTGTCGTAGTGGATCGTCGAAGCAATGAAAAAAATCCTGCTTACAAAAGTTGTTGCTCTTAAATCGAATAACAATTTAAAGAACAAACTTTTCAATTAAATTATTCATAAAACTCCTAACTATTGTAATACCTTCATATAAAATATTTGCATTTCTGTGGAAATTAAAAGTACATTATTTTACATCAATTTGTATATTCTATATTAATAATGAAAGTTCTTGAAAAAAAAACAAAATAGATTTGTACCAAAAAAAAAAAAAAAAATAAATAAATTTTGTATGTTTTTAGTGACAAAGTTTAAAATAAAATTTGCCAAGACCGCTTCTGTAAAGCAATTATTAT